GTATATTTGCGGACGGTGAGTTCCTCTGGTCATACTGCCGTCCATCTCGTACTCGCTAAAAGCAAGGTTGCTCCCATTAGGTCCCGCTTAACCATCCCTAAATTGGAACTGTCCGGTGCCGCTCTCCTCACGCGACTCCTCAACCACGTTCACTCTTCCTTGAAGCCTGTAATCGACATTACGGGCGTCTACGCATGGTCGGACAGTGAGATAGTACTTTGTTGGCTCCGAGCTGCACCTCACAATCTTGAGGTCTTTGTGGTGAACCGCGTGTCTCAAATCCAGAGTTCTGAGACTTCTCTCAACTGGCGACATGTCCCAGGGGAGTTGAATCCCGCGGACTGCGCTTCTCGCGGCTGTGAGGCCCCATCGCTGGTTGACCACCCACTGTGGTGGGGTCCCGGTTGGTTATCTGGGTCTCAGTCATTCTGGCCCCCGGGCAATTACTCCGAACCTACCGAATTGCCGGGCCTACGAGCCCGAGTAGGAGTGGGCAAGGATAAGCCCACTCGGGATATCTCTCTTCTGGAACGGTACAGCTCCCTCGATAAGCTCTTGGGAGTTACTGCTTGGTTGCGCCGCTTTGTCCGCAATTCGAGATACCCATCCCACCGACTCTCTGATAGCGTTTTGTCCCCTAGCGAGCGCCGTGAAACTTTGATGCACTGGACCCGTATGGTCCAAACGGAGCAATTTGAGCCCGTCATTGAAAACCTGAAGCGTGGCTCCGTTATCAAGGGCGCCCTGGCCCGCCTGAACCTCTTTCTGGATAACGCGGGGATGCTGCGCGTTGGCGGACGTTTAAAAAATTCTCAACTGCCGTACGGGGCTCGACACCCGTTGCTGCTCCCTAAGGACGGCGCCCTGGTCCGATTGCTAGTAGCCCACCACCATGTTAAGAATGCCCACGCTGGGTGCAACGCTCTTTCGGCTATTTTACAGCGGGAGTTTTGGATTTTGGCTGGCCGACGTCTCATCCGGAGCGTCATCTTTAATTGCATATCCTGTTATAAACTGAAGGCCACCATATCGCAGCCCCTCATGGGTGACATGCCGCCCGACCGCGTCAGGGCCATCCGACCATTTGCTGGAGTCGGAACCGACTTTGCTGGCCCCTTCCTCGTCAAGTCCTCTAACCTTCGTAACGCCCGTTCGCATAAGGCCTATCTTTGCGTCTTCGTGTGCCTCTCCACTAAAGCCGTTCACTTGGAACTTGTAAGCGCCCTCAGCACGGAAGCCTTCTTGGCCACGCTTGGCCGTTTCGTATCGCGGCGCGGGTTGCCGGACTTGATCCGGTCGGATTGCGGAACGAATTATAAGGGCACGGATAGGTATCTAAAGGAGGTCGTCGAGTTTCTGTCTAGCCACCGTACTTATTTAGGCAATGCTATGTCAAAAAGGGGCATCCAGTGGAAATTCGACCCTCCGGCGTGTCCCCACTGGGGCGGTATTTTCGAGGCGGTGGTTAAAGTGGCAAAAACGCATCTCCGTCGCGTTATTGGTGAAGCTATTTTGACATTTGAGGAGCTCGCCACTGTATTCTGTAAAATTGAGGCGGTACTCAACTCTCGGCCCCTCTGTCCCCTCTCCTCCGACCCGAATGATTTGGAAGTTCTAACCCCGGGACACTTCCTGATTGGCCAGCCTCTTAACGCTCTGCCCGAGTACCCCTTCAGGGAAACGAGCGCTTCACGGCTTAGCAGGTTTGCCCTGCTGCAACAGATGACTCAAAGCTTTTGGCACCGATGGTCTCTGGAGTACCTACATCTTTTGCAGCAGCGCGTTAAGTGGTCTGACAAGACGGAGCCTCCTCGGGTGGGAGACCTCGTGTTGATTAAAGAACCAAACGCTCTACCTTTGTATTGGCGCCGTGGGCGCATTGTTAAATTGTCGTATGGAGCGGATAGGGTGCCTAGAGTGGCCGAGGTTTTGGTCGGAGATTCGGTCTTGCAACGTGCCGTCGCGACCTTGTCTCGTTTGCCAATCTACTCGCGGACCTAATGCCTTATGTCCGGGGCGGGGGTTTGTTTAGGCAAGAATATTTATTTTTATTATTTTTACCTTCGAAACGTATTCTAACCCGCGCGCTTGGCCTCGATATCGAGGTCACCTCCCCCTCCCTCCGGCCGCCTGACGCGGCGGGATCGGACTTCTCGACCTTCATTGTAGAATTTCTTGCGAGCTCGACTGACGTTTTCCGCGCCTAACTTGTTACGAAAGTATCAACCCGCGTAAATCGTTGTGAGAACCGTATCGTTCATCAGGAACTACTAACTCTGTTAAATTAATTGTGCAACCATAATAGTGATTTACCTCTGAAGTACTACGTGTAGCTGTCCCATTTCGTGACAAACCAGGAAGAGTGCCTCCAGAGGGGGAAAGTTCCGAGGATACCAGCGCATACCTTCTCCCGGACGGCATTGCGTCATCCAGATCAGGGCCCGTCAACATACACGCACATACAATTACACATACACTCATGACACTGTCATCAGCCGGGCCGGTCTCGGAGAATCGTCTCCTCTCCTGGAGCAGGTGAGTGCCTTTATCGTAGTGACCTTTCCCCTCGTTTGTTTCTATTAGAAATTTTCACTTTGGCCAAAAGCCCGACCTGTATCTGCCAGTAGGATCTTACTACTATGGGCCTAGGTGGATACTACTATTAGCTAGGCAGCTGCAGGCCGTAACAATCATATTTTGCAGATAAGAATGAAATGGACTCACGGATTTCGACATTTTGTTGCTTGATCTCATTAATTTATGTGATTAAAGTTTCAATCTTTTCGTTCTGTTGGTGGTTAAAATCATTAAACATATGGCGTAATTCCTGCATTAACGATAACGAGTCTTCACTCTGCTCGAGAATCTTTTTTTTTTTGTCTTCTAGTCAAAGTATTATATTCATTATCACCTTCCATACAAATATTTGGATTAGGATCCGATCCGTGTAACTGTGTTCGTGTTTTATTACCAGATAAACTTAATGTATTTGATGGAGTACGCTGTATTGACATTATATTATTATGTGGGTATAAAAATAGGCCTAAAGCAGTCCGACGGTAACTATCATCGCAATTAGGGCGGAGTCGATGATGCGTCAGTTTATAGCGATATCTTTGTTTAATTTTTATGTCCTACTCACGCCCCGTCACTGCAGTTAACGTTCAACGCTCTCTTTATGTACTGCGCTCCTGGTAGCTCAATATATTTAACTAATTGAGAATTACTTTGAAAAATACTATTTTTAAATTAGAATAAAATGGTACAAGAAAGACGTCCGATGTCCACTGAAGCCCGAGGGGAAGAGGTCTATTTGTTATGATTAATAAATTAAAGTTTTCTTATTTCTCAGACATGCAGATTTCCTCACGATATTTTCCTTCGCCGCCGAACACATGGTAAATCAGCACTTAAAATTGCAATTAACAATTTCATTGGTGCCGGTGGGGATCGAACCCGGGTTGCTCGCGTACTGTGAAACTTACAGCGAGCGCTATTATTGTTATGATTGATAAATATTTATAGGCACTTATTCGAAAAATTCAGTTAAATTTTAGTTTAATATAATAATTAAATTAATTATTACCGAAAATTACATAGGTAGGGTAGGTATTGTTTGTATTTATTTGTAGAAAATATATATTATTTAGTTTACCGATTTCCGTTCATACTTTTCCAGGCTTAGGATTGAAAACCTATTTACGTGCAGTTATTTCAGTTATAGTGTAAAATATTAGGTACCTATACGTAGTTAAATTTATTAAGTAAAAATTAGATTCTTAGGTTGGCGTATTTAGAAATCAGTGGCTATGTACAGTGATTTTTTGATTATTATTTTCAGCATCATTTACATATATTCATATCGTTTTTTTACACATACTTATACTTATTCAAATCTCAGAGTTGCAAATTAGTAATAGAAGTAGAGAGACTTCAAGCCCTATGCACCAGTCATAGAGTTATCAATTTACCTTTTTGTAATCCTCTATTCCTCTATCTACGTTTTGAGCCAACGTATGACAGTTTATAATGGTCAAACAACTCACTCTCTCAGTCTTGCGAAAGCGCGACAGAATATTCTAAATAGGGAGGTGCGAAAGAAACGTCTGTACTATGGACTTTCCGAAATCTTCCTAGAAATAGAAAGCACCGTGCGCAATGCGCGACATAGATGTTAGATAAAAGACGCCTTGAGTGAATGATTTGTAAAGATACACTGGTACAGTGATACATTCGGATGCGGATGGATATAAAGAGTAATTGATAGAAATTGATTGATTCATATCTCTTGTATCTATCTCTCCTGAATTACCCATCTCTACTTCTAAGCCAGTGGCCCCTATATATAATATACTCTGTGCTAGTTAGTCTGTAGTCAGTGTTCCACAGAGTACATTGTATATACATGAACAGTGTTCTGTGCATGAAGTTATAGATAAAGATCTATAACTTCATGCACTATTATCTATAACTTCATGGTTCTGTGCTGTGGTTCTGTTGTGGGTTCTGTGAGGAGTTTTGGCGGGAACTTGACCGGCGGCGATTTGCTGCTCCTGTTTTATTGTTTAAATAATGGTTTTAAGTGGACTTTGATATTTAAAAGTGGAGCGATTTTGTGTATTAAGTGTCTGCGCATGTGAACTATTAGTGGAAACTGTGAAACAAGTGCTCTGATAGTGATGTGATTCTCAAAATAAGGTGCCTGTCTGCTTAGGCGCCTTGAGATACCATCGCTAACCGTCAGCTGTCTGCTGGCTCAAGTTGCCGTCAAAATCTCCCAAGGGCTGCACAATGTGACGCATCAACATATTGTGAAGCAATATACTATGAAGAATAATTATTATAATATAATATTGTAACTTCAGGCTCAGAAGGGCTAGATCCCAGAGCCATAAAGCCAGTTATTAAGAAGAAGTGGGTTCTGTGGTGTTTCTATATAGTTTGTGGTTCTGTGACCACAACAATAAAATAAAAACTTGTAATTGTTTAATTTCAACATAATGAGTTTGTTTGGCGAAGTTGTTGAACCAATTAGTCGTAATATTTGGGAAGACTGGGATGAAATAATAATCGAGAGAGATGATTCAAATTCAAAGTAACTTTTTATTTTTTATATTTTTCTGCAGTATCCAAAGGTTATATTTAATAAATTATATATTTTCAGATTACACTGGGATAACGAAGTTGTAATAAATAAAACGATTGATTCGTTTTACCTTTTAGATGGAAAGTATTTAAAACAATTCGTAAACACGACACATCTACAGTTGATCAATACAGTGAAAGAAGTTAATCTAAATATATATGAAATACATACTCATACTCATAATAAATATATTTGTACAATTATGGATTATAATTTAATCTTGAGTAGTGAAATTGTTCAATTGCTGCAACCGTATTTTGAATTTTGCAAAAATGTTTTGACCGTACAATGTATTTCAATGTCTGAATATCGTACTAATCAGTTGAACATTCAACCTTGTTTAATAAGAGGAATTTATACATCAAAAGCATTAAATACTTCAGAACTTGATATCCCAAAACTTGAGCAGCCTAATATTTTATCTGGTGTCCCTGCTGGAGGTATATATATATATATATTTTTATATGCAAAAATTATTTTAAAAAAATTGTGACGGGAGCAATAATTGCAATTTAAATATAAACTATCTGTATGTTGGTGGCGCCGCCGTGAAGTGGGGGTATAAGAAAACCACTACCCTTTATCTTCCTGTAGATGTCTTTCTGTGTAGTGGCGGTGTAAGAATACCCACTGCGACAGAAGGAATCTAAAACAGGAGATGGGCAGCTGAATATAAATAAAAGACTGCAGTTGCCAACCTGCCAGCAAAGCTTGGCGACTATGGCAAATTCACCGCTATGAAGCAATCTGTGGGGGAGGCCTATGTTGAGCAGTGGACTTCTTGCCGATAACTGCTGAATATAAATAAAAGACTGCGGCTGCCAACCCACCTGTAAAACATGGCGACTATGGCAAAATCACACCTATGAAGCAATCTGTGGGGGGGGGGCTATGTTGAGCAGTGGACTTTTATAGACTGTAATAGATAATAGATAGATGTATTAAGAGGCCACTGAGGGAAAAGAAATATAGAATAGTCAGCAGCATCTTCCTGATAAAAAAATTAAAAAATCCAGTTGCTTACCCGCCTGCCAAACATGGCAAGTATGGCAAATAATATGTGTATACCTTTTAAAATATTAAAATTGAATAAAATGTTACAATTAAATATTAAAATCTTAAGTACTAGTAGAACATACCTACATACTTTGCGCTTAAGGCATGCAATATTAAATATGTGTTAGTATAGTTAAACTCTTATTCACGTTCCTCTTCTGAGCACAGGGCTCTTATTTCTGAAGGGATTATTTAGCAAACCTCACCATCTCTCAACAGTCCGGTGTGCAACTTCAATGTATGTTTGTGGACTTCATCCCCCGAGTTACCAAAACTTGTATTATTATGTATATTTATTGCTATATAGCACTAAGCGCCAATCAAATTGACAGAAGTTGCAATTTTTAGTGCTTATTTACAACATGCTATAAAGGATATGATGAAGAAACCTACATGTCTGAGAAATTAAAAAATTTTGAAGGCCTGTGAAGTTCGCCAACTCAGGAATTTGCTTGTGCATAGCAGTGGGACATATATATTGGTTGTAACTTTACAATTTTTTTCATTTGCAGTTATAACTTTGAGACAGCATTTGGATCAAATGGGAATAGCATTAATATGTTATGTGGAATATACTGAAGATTATCAAATTGAAGAACTACAAAAGCTATTGCACAAACTAGAAATTGGATCAAATATCCAAAAGGGTCCAAGTATTGTTTTAAATTCCAATTTGTATATTTGATTTCTTAAAGTACATTAATCTTGTATACTTTTTTAACTTGAACATTTGCTTTAAAACGCAGTATAACATAATAAGTCATATGTTGAAAAGCAGGGAGTTTCTTATTATTTATAAAATTTGGCATTTGGATTTGATACGAAATCAAAAACTGTACACTATTTAATAAAATTTAAATGTTTTCAGAGTTTTATATTTAACTTTAGGCATCATAAACTATAAAGTTTTAGTATAGGTAATTACACCAAAAATTTGTCATGATGAGAATAAGTTAAGAAAATAATATTGTAATCACTAGCAGTATATTCCTTGATCACTAGTCATTACATGAGGATTGGTGATTGGTGAGGCTTAGATAAATAAGAAAGCTATGCTTATAAATACTATATTAAATTGATAGGTATAAAAAGGGTTCTGTTCAGTGCCCATAAAGATAGAACTCATTCAAATTTTTATAAAATTAAATTTGCTAACAGTCTAGCTAGGATGGGCTTATTGCGAATGATGTATGGATGGTTTCGGTTCTGGACGTTTGGTTTGGTTTTTTACAAATTACCACCTGTGAACATTGCGTCTGTGTACCGAGAGAGACAACTGCATAAAAGTACACGACTGCGTAAAGTTTACTGAAAAGAGAAATATTCAAATATTATAATACCTTAATTCACTTACACAACTAAGTTGTATGTTAAAATATAAGCCGTCTTTAGGCTAAAGAAACAGTTGTGTATCGCCAGCAATGCAAAGTCAGGAATTCGCATTTAGAAAAACCCAAAATTAGGGGCTTTTTAGGTGCTAATAGGCGCCAAGTTTAAAAATTAGTTAGGTACCTACTCTAAAATGTACACCGCAACGAACTGTTAAAATTTGCGTTGCTAGCAAAACGTATCGCTAGCAACGCAATGAAGTTATCAGATATACGATAAATATTAATAGCAAGGAATTAAATGCCAATTAGGTGCTGCAAGTATAGGCAATGACAAGGCGCCCCTAATAAAAATTAAGTCGTTATTCAGAACAAAGCAGATGCAAAATTCAGGTTTTCTGAAAATCAGAATAGAATCAAAATTGCTTTTAGAAAAAGCCCAAATTAGGGGCTTATTACATGCTAATTAGGTAAGTACCTACCAAGTTTAAAAATTAGTTGCTCTAAAATTTTCACCACAATGAACTGTTGAAATTTGTGTTGCAGGAATATTGACAATAGTTATTTCTGCAACGGCTTTGGCGCTGCGGGGAGTAAATCGCCCTTGTAACGCCTGATTCTATTAATTATCTTAAAACTAAACGAAGTATTCCAGACTCAGTGTTCTCAATCAAGCACCCAATCGGTGGACAAATGCATGGTAAAGTTTAAGGGGAAAAGCACACTCAAACAATACATCCCAAAAAAGCCCATAAAAAGGGGTTATAAGATATGGACTCGGTGTGATGCTAAGACCGGGATACATTTATAATATATCTCTAATATCTATATCGGGAAAGCAGACGAAAATGCATCAAGTGAGGAAGGCTTAGGATACAATGTGATAATGAAACTATGTGAAGGTGTTACAAGCGACACTCGTGTAGCTTTCGACAACTTCTTTACTGGCATCCCTCTGATGAATGATTTGCTGATAAAGAAAAGAATATATGTCGTCGGTACCGTACGTTTGAATCGAAAAGGCTTACCAGAAAAGTTTTTACCCAAAAATAAACTCAAGAACGAAAAACTTGGAAAATACGAGTTCATGTATAAAATCAAAGCTCCAGTTTCTGCTATACAGTGGATGGATACTCAACTGGTGAATATTTTGACAACGGCACAGTCGGCACACAACCCAAAATCTGTGTCTACGGTCAAGCGAACACAGAAGGATGGTTCCAAGAAAAATGTTACTATCCCCACTGCTATCGCCGAATATACTGTGAATATGGGAGGAGTGGTTCGTTTTGATCCCTTCCGTACGTCATATCCAATCGGCCGAAAATCGAGACGCAACTGGTTGCGCCTATTTCATTTCATGTTTGATGCAGCTATCATCAACGCGTACATAACGCACATCCAAATTCACAAGCAAACGGTTCACACACATAGAGATTACAGACTTCGTTTGGCACGCAGCCTTATAGATGGATTAACAGGCAAAAAACGAACCATTAGTATTATTTTTAGGAACAAACAAGGTGGAAATTTCGGAGTAGCCGATGAAAATCAGACGCTCTTCTGTGCCTACCCAGAAAACCAAGGGAAATTTACTAGATGCCGAATTTACTAGGGGATTTTGCAGCGCGAAAAATACTCAAAAACGATCAAGGATCATTTGCGATGTCTGTAAAGTAGCTTTATGTGCCACACCGTGCTTCAAAAACTTTCATACTGCCCCAGAAGGAGAGACTATGGACTGTAGCAGCACTTCTTGTACTACCTTAACGGGTTAAGGTCAAATAGTTACCACCGTTACCACAGTTGCATCTAAATGTAAACGGGCAATGGTAAAATGATTACCACCGAAATTTCTTGTACTTGTGACAATTTTTTTTGATTTTTATGATTAACTAGCTGTTCCCCGCGACTTCGGCCGCGTGTTATTTGGGGTTTTAACTTTTTGCGCGGAACCCTAATTCTTTTTCTTTTTCTAAAATAAAAGTAGCCTAAGTTACTCCTTGTGACATCAGCTATCTGCCAGTGAAAATCCCGCCAAAATCGGTCCAGCCGTTTCGGAGATTAGCCGGAACAAACAGACAGACAGACAAAAACTTTAAAAATTCAATTTTTGTTACTAGTACCTTATAATACATATACCTTTTTTCATATGTATTTAGTAAAAAGCTGTAATTTTGACATTACAAACAGACACTTCAATTTTATTTATTAGTATAGATGTTAAAAAGGGTCACATGAAACAAATCTATACAAATAAATAAAATTGAAGTGTCTGTTTGTAATGTCAAAATTACAGCTTTTTACTAAATGCATATGAAAGTAAATACGATACCTATAACTAAAATACAATTTTTAAAATTTTTGTCTGTCTGTCTGTTTGTTCCGGGTAATCTCCGAAACGGCTGGACCGATTTTGACGGGACTTTCACTGGCAGATAGCTGATTTCATAAGGAGTAACATAGGCTACTTTTATTTTAGAAAAAGAATCAGGGTTCCGCGCAGAAACATAAAAACCCTAACACGCGAACGAAGTCGCGGGGAACAGCTAGTAAATAATAATACAAAACCTGGTTTTTTAATATTTTTTACTTCTGCCCTATTATCGGTTAATATTTATCGTATACCCATTTTCGTCACTGCGTTGTTAACAAAACGTATCGCTGTGACGAAAATAGGTATTAAAAATAAAATTTTAACAGTTCGTTGCGGTGAAAATTTTAGATCACCTAATTAGCACCTAAAAAGCCCCTAATTTCGGGTTTTTCTAAATGCAAATTCCTGACTTTGTGTTGCTGGCGAGACACAGCTTAAAGAAATAGACATTCGTACATACCTACATTGCCTTACATAATTATTATAGTGCATACCAAAACTAGAATGAACCCATCAGTCATTTAAGTCAATGGATAAACCTGTATCTTCGGTTTTTTTTTATAAAAAAAAATTAAAAATGTTACACATGTTATAATTTTATTTATACGAGTATGTTTGTGGGTGTTGTGTAAATGCTTCCTGTGGTGTTTGACTAGTTCTTCAGTTTCCCTTTATATATATATATATATATATATATATATATATATTAGAGAAAACGTGGTAAAGTTGTCTCTATTATAGGGATTTTGTATGTTGCATTTTTAAGAGATAAGTATTGTTTGTCAAGCAGGTTGGAACCGTTTGAATATCATCCCTATTTTATTTTTAGAACATAATATACCTAACACCGTTAGAAAAAAACGACCGCTCACAAAGCTACCTTTCCCGCGCTTGCTAACGCATTACATGGTCACAGTAAATATATAGATACTGTGACATGGTGTCGTGGGTGTGCTCAGTAGTTCAGTACCATCTTGACAGTGTACCGTTTACGTGGTCCTACCCCGGTCGAGCCGATCAATTTTTACAACCATAACATAGCTGCAGCGTGCTCTACCACGTTTATATTAACACAAAATATGAACTTTCTTTATCAACACAGAAAAGCCCACTGCTGAACACCACCCTCGTTGTAGGAAGAAATGTACAATTGACGGCCACACACATCATATAAATTAAAAACACGCATTGATCATGAGCTGTGATGATTCTAGAGAAAATTATCCTGTCGATCCTGATCAGGATACTAGGGTAAAGTTTTTAAATTATTGTATTGTCATCGGGCCTTGATACCAGAGCAAATCAAGTCAATCGGTCATCTAGAAGTTGGTGAAAATTACATTAAAAGATTACGTTACATAGATGATAAGATACACGCGAAGATACACGTAGAGAATCGCACTGGTTTTTAAAGATGACCTTAAGCAGAGCTCTGAGATCTCTGTCCATCGTGTGAGATTATGTAGTGCAGTGGTGCTGCTGCCACCTCCCCACAGAACACATACTCCTAGCGGAGACCCTGCATTTCAGCGTCACAGAATACATATTGACCATCACAATGGACAGGCACATTGCCTGGTACATAACATTTTGAGAATATTTGTTGCACTGTTACGCATTAATTTGCCAAGTAGGCAGGTTGGTACTCTGTGGACTAAAATATAGGTTAAGGTCTACCTTAAATATTTGCTTGTGCCGCTGGATCTATCGCATGGCAATTGCACGTTGGGTAGGCGTAAATCGTATTTGTGAACTTTTAAAATACATATAAATATTTAAATTTAGCAGTATATTCAAGGTGAGGTTCCTGTTCAGTATTGAGCAAAACGAGCAAGACCATGTTCAGCAGTTCAGTTAATTTAAACATTTCTTGGAAAGAATGATGATAAACACACCACATGAATAAAAATAACGCCTGGGTACGAGGTAATCGCTACCGTGCTGGTTCTATTTTAATGAACTTAAATAACTTTAAAATTAATTACATAAGTCTAAATAAATAATCCGACTGGGTTTCTTGCTGGTTATTGCCATAACAGTAGTATATTCCGAACCAGGGTGAATAAAAAATTGCTTTCAATATATAAGTATTATTTAATAATCTTAAATTAACAAAAAAAAACGTAATGTACTACCCAAGCAGCACGCAGGCGTTATGAATATCAATATAGGCACCAACCCACATCTAGAGTTATTTTAAAAGCGTATAAGACTTTTAAATAGAGATTGTATTCTTATAAAAGTGGTTTATGGGCTATTTTGCAGCTCAAGCTGTATATAGTCTGTATTATGGAATTTAAGGCCCGTATTAATAAACGTTACTCAGCTCAGGTAAACGCACTTGAGTACAATCTTGAGGTTATTATCTTATTAATTAACATATCTCAAGATTCGGTTTAGGTTTACGATATCAGCTGAGTGCCAGACTGATTAACTCGACTCTCAAGTGTGTGTACTTGAGTGCAAGTCACAGAACAGTATTCCTAAGTACAGCGTTTTGAGATACTGTTTTTATGTGTTTATTAATTAGCAGCATCTTGAGATGGGTGTATCAAATGATTACGCACTTGAGTTCGTCGTTGAGTAACGTTTATTAATACGGGCCTAAGTAAGTTAGACTTCTTAATCAGAATCAGTGGCGTAGCTATGTAACCAAGGACCCCGGGGCAAAAATGAAATTGGGGCCCTATTCAAACTAAACCAAATACTTAAGAGGTGCAAAAATACTTCATCATCAGCTCCTTGTCGCCCACAGCAGGGCATAATAAAGCCAGCTCGAACCAAGGAGGTACCGCGACCTTACAGACAACCAGCGTGAAGTAGAAGTTTAGTTCGCCTGGTAAGGGCAAGTGGTCGGAGACCTAACCCCTCTCCCCCTTAACATGGTAGTGTAATTAAATAAGAAACCATCCCAGGAGGGTACCAGCACCCCTGGTGTTATAGAATCCCTGGCTGAACATCCACGCCCAAGCTATCCTACTCTTCCTTAACGTGGGTGCTCGAACGTTAACAAAGTCCACCAGGTATCATCTGAAGATGGCGAAGCTGACCTTGCTCTTTCTAACCAAGACGCAGATGTCCTCTCCGGTCGATACTTCTCTCCTATCTGGCGTACAGATTAGAACACCTTTGTGCCTCGGACTGGAGTTAGCGTTAGAGAGGATATCTGTTGTTTCTCCGTCCCGACAGCTTTGAAGGTCAGCGACGACCATACTCGCGTCTACGGGTGCTTCTATAGGTAATGCCGACACAGACCAACTCATCGACCACGTCAAAATTGCTGCAGACTCCGTGCTACAACAGGCCGCATCTGCAGAGATCGTGATCTTTGGTGATTTTAACAGCCACCACGCTAAATAGCTTGGTTCTCGTTTAACCGATCATGCGGGAAGATCTGTTCATTACTTTGCCTTGGCATATGGTTACTTCGCCTACGCGGATTCTAGATGTGGAGGATCTTGCATCTTCCCTGTTGGACCTTCTGCTCACCTCTCATCCGGATGGATATCAGGTCTCTGTCAACGCCCCTCTTGGCTTATTGGACCATTGTCTGATCCGGACTATGGTGCCACTCACAGTCCCATCGCGGTTACGTTCTGCAGATCGCCGCCGTGTTTGGCACTATAGGTCAGCCCCTTGAGACAGGATGCGTTCTCTTTTGCATACTTCCCTTGAGGACATTCTTTTCGCCAGATAATCCCAATGTGATTTTGTCGCTGATGTGGTACTTCAAGGAATGGAACTCTTTATTCTATCATCTGTGATGCTTGGTTTGGTCACTCCTGTAAAATTGCATCGCGCTATCATAGAAGTGTTTCACCAGCACTGTTAAAAATAAGTATAATTTCGCCTTCACGTCAGTACAATACGGCTTACACAGCGCTCGGTGCGCATAGCACTACTCCCCCTAGACGTCAAGTCGAGAGGGCCTGATGGAGTTCCTTCCATTGTGCTGAAGACGTGTGCTCCTAGTAGTCCCTAGTTGGCACCGATCGTAACGTGTCTTTTTTAAAACTTTCTCCCTAGGCGTAGTCCCGAACTCAAAGAAGACGGCTTTAGTACACCAGATCTCTAAAAAATAACCGATAATCAACCGCTCTGACCTATTAAACTTGTTCTCCAAGATAATTGAAACCATTGCGAATTGCCTCTCATTGGCGGAGGCAGAGAGGGAGACCCTGGCCATTAGTTTGTACATAGCGAAGGCCTTCGATCGGGTTTGGCTCAAAACGCTTCTT